ATAAAATCATCAACGGTTTGTGAGATATTTGCAAAAAACTGAAAATGACAGATTTCATTTTTTTGCTCTACCACCTCCATTTTCAATGATATCAAAAAATGACAAAGGAACTTTTTGCTTTATTTTATGTGCTTCATAGTCTGGGTGAATTCATTTTTCAACGCAACGTTTCGTTCATTGAATTTCATCATCAATATATTTTTTTTGAATACGGACCTGTATATTGTTTTATACATTTTCGTAGTCATTATAATTACAAATTCGTTGATATATCACAACATCCATATTTCCCGACGTTTCTTCCCGAAACCGCATCATCACTATATTTTTTAATTAAGAGTTCGAATTTCGGAATGTTACTGAAATCCAGAGTTCTCCTGTCGATAATGTCGTTCATTGAGATTGTAAAAATTTATTTTTGAAATTCAACTAAATTTCTGTCAGGGTCGTCTTGAAAAAGAGAGACCAATAATCTCTTTATCAATACCAAGCCATTCACAATTTCCAAATATTTTTTGAAAATTTTTTAGCTACCCAAAAGTTTCTGTTCAGAACATGAGGATATCAACAAGAATTAACTAATAAAAATACTGAACTAAAAAAGTCAAAGATGATTTGCACGAGAAACATGATAAGCGATAATTTCTTTTTTTGAAGTAAGCCATGAAATACATAAATGTGAATGTCACAAAATGAAAGTTATTTAAATCGGTGAGCGATTTTAAGGGAGAAACATGAATTTTTTCAATGACGAAAAAAAGGATATGCTTTTTGTATATTCGAGATGTTTGAGGAGTGCTACCAAATCTCTGGCAATGTATCAGGAATTGTATTCTGAACGACGACAACCTAATCAAAGATATTTTCAACGAACCGAAAATACTTTACGGAATTATGGATCTTTTGAAAAACCCTTTGAAATAAAATGTACGCGGTTACTGAATGTGGTGGCGATAATGAAATTGACGTTTAAGAAAATGAATATTTACATAGAGTTATCAATTTTCAAGAGATATATGTTGTGGATAGGATAGACATGGAAGGTGGATAGGAAATAATGGTCCTATTGAATGGCCACCACGTTCAGCGGACCTTTTTCTCCTAGATTTTTCGTTGTGGGACTTCATAAAATATCAAGTATTCAGAACAAATTTTGAAAATATTGAAGAATTGAAAGATTCAATAAGGAGTGCCTGGCTATCACTCCACAGATGTTAGAGAACTGCTAAAAGCACACTTTTTCTAGGGCAATGTTCAACAAATGATAGAAGACAATTTGAATATTTGGTGCGATATCGCGTGAGACCGTAACTTAAAAAATGAAACGTGAGACATTCCGTTATTGTGTTCATTTTCTATCATTTATTATTTCGTTACATTTTCTTTCGCAACTGTCTTTTTTTCAATGTGATGTATTAACGATACTGTCAACTATGTGTTACAACAATAGTCTGATATTTGATTTCTCATTTAATAAAAAAAGTTAAACGATAGAATATTGATGATGTGGTTTCGGGAAGAAACGTCGAGAAATACATATGTTGTGATATTTCAACGAATTTGTGAATACAATGACTACAAAAATGTATAAAAAAATATACAGGTCCGTATTTAAAAAAATATATTGATGATGGAATTCAATGAACGAAACGTTGCATTTGAAGATGAGTTCACCCAGATTATGAAGCATATTTAATAAAGCAAGAAGTTTTTGGAGGCGGTAGGGCAAAAAAATAAAATCTGTCATTTTCATTTTTTTGCAAATATCTCAGAAACCGTTGATGGTTTTATAGATCTGAAAATACCAGTTGCATCCCTAAATAGGCAACTTCTGTTCTATTCAACCGTCCTTGTAGGATATACAGCAATATTGGTACCAGCTAAAAAATACGGCCTGTATATTTCATTGATAATTTATGTTCTCCTCACATCGTGCGATTTCTCTCATTTGCATATGATCAAGTGAAACATAAAAACTTATTGTATTTTTGTGATACGTTTTCAATTCAATATGATCCTTTCTTGTCCCCATGAAATATCACATACAGTATTCTGTATACAATAACTGAACAAGTAATATTAAACAGTAGCAAACGACATATCATATGATTTTTGTCACAATCAAAATAGAAAACCATTCTCTATTCATAAAAACCTAATAGGTGTTTGAATAAGACTCTTTCGAGCCTTTCAATCATTAGTGATATTCGACATAAACGACATTATAATGAATAAAGTCCGATTCCCGTCATTATTATCCATAATTAATAGGAGAATTGTAATTATCTAACCAATGATGGAAAAAATATTTAACATAACACTCCTATTCCCAATTTCGAAACAACGAGTATACTTTTCTAATACTAGTTTCACACCATACAGTGCCATCCTCAAAGTATGTACCATATGGAAAACTTATTTATTAAGGGTTTTTCGACAAAAAGTTATTCTTGATAAAAGTTTGTGCATTCCCTGAAACTAAACATGCATCAGCAAAATACAGTAAAACACACGTAATATACGAGAAGCGTTCAAATATTTGATTTTGAGATAAGAGTAAAGTACCCTTATTTTGGAAAATCTCGGGAAATGTTTCTTAGCAAAGTTGTTCAGCAGTGGAGTTTCATTTTTTTATGCATTTTTCAAATGGGGACTACGAAAAAAAATTGCTAAAACGATAAAGAGACAGCATACTGTATACAACGGTTTATTTCAGAAGCCTGTAATATTACGAATAACACAACTATAGTGTTGACCACGGTCAATTTTTTTGATTGCAAAGTTATTTTTATTTTTTTTCAACACCGAAAAGTACTCAAAATTCTACAGTATTGTAACAAGAACTCAATATTCAATTATACCAAATCATAAAATATCAAAATGAAATAGGTATTTCGAAACAAAGTCATGTAATTCTACAAAATAATCTCCAGAAAATCAATGAGTTTGTTCCAAAATACCTATTTTGTGATTTGATAGTATTGGATATTGAGTTCTTATTACAATACTGTATACTTTAGAAAAATTTTCTTAAAAGGATTAGGAGTTGAAAACAATTTTACAAATTCATTTTGACCCTCAGGTACCGTTCTGAAAGGGCCTTAAGGATTTTCCTGTAGTGCTTGTCTTCTGCCCTTAAAAAAAAGTTCATAAAATATTGATTTTCGGATATAACATTCTAAAAGAGGCGAACAACTAGTGGATGCTATTATCTGCATTGAATGTAAAATGAATTCAAGTTCAACTTTACAGAAAATCTATAAAGTTTGATTCTTCTCTAATGAACATTCGCGCATATCAATAGACACGAACAAAAATGAATATGTCATGAATTTACATTGTTCAGGATCAAAAACAAAAAATAAGCTTCACAGTGCATGTGAGCGAATATTAAAATAATCTGAAACTTTCTATGTTACCACTTCTATTTGTAACTAACGTTACTGTAGTTTCGTCCTATAAGGATATTTTCAAAACTTATATATTAAACTAAAAATGATTGATTACAATAGCCTTGAATATTACTGGAGTTTTTTTTCCCAACACCAAATCGTTATTTTTAATACCTCGACACGTGTTTCGATCACCAAGTGATCATCTTCAAAGAGAAAGATTAAGAGTTTTAATCTTCCTCTTTGAAGATTAAAAGATCGAAACACGTGTCGAGGTGTTAAAAATAACGATTTGGTGTTAGGAAAAAAAAACTCCAGTAATATTCATTACTACACCAAAGGTTCCAAACAGTGCATCACAAGTACAATAGCCATTATATACCACCACTGTAGGTAATAACAGAGGTACAGAGTACCTGAATTTTGTTTATCTGTGACGACAATATGGGTAGGTATGCTAATTTAAAAACCAATGAGTAAACTAGATCGATTTGATTATTTAACATGTTGCACCCACAATGCTTATGCTTATGAAATTCCAAGGATTCCAAATAATTGAGTTTGCTACCCTTTCTTGCACAGTGCAAAATTTCCGTATCGTTTAGAATCGGTAAATTGTGGTTGCTTCCCATGAAAAGGTTTGAATGATGATTTCCTACCACACAGTAATGACTACATCCATCAATTTATTCAAAATGATCTATTTCACACGTGGAAATTTGTATTGAAGAAAAATAAAGCTCCTCAAAATATGACCGGTAGCTCATTGGATTGAAACTGACGAGTGAAAAAATTATTTTAATCATTGTACAACACGCATGAGAATTGCAATTGTTACTAACAAAATTAGATAAAAAAAGAGGCATTCTCTGAGGAGAATTATTGTTAGACCATTTGCTAACAAAGGTGCATTGAATTCACCTGCAAAAAAGATGCAGGTATTTACATACGGATACATCAAAATAACTTATTAGTGTTTTCATGCACGTTGAATAACATAAACAAATATAACTATTTGAGATCAGTTAAAATGAAGCAATCTGTAGTAGTTTTCTAACAAAAATACCTCAAATGCATGTTTCTTAAAAATAGGTGAATATTAGATTGAAGTATAATTTATTGTTCTCCGATTTCTCTCAGGCTCTTTAGTTCGTTTCGTTTTATATCTATCAAGAGCAAATTCAATGTTAGTGCCATATCATATGAATATCTAATGTACTGATGTGATGATCATTAAAAAAAGCATTATTTCCCTCGCCTTAAAAGGTTTCCTATTTCAAATGATAATAAAAACCGAAAATAAAAAAAAGAAATCATTAAAATCGGAGCTGTTTCTGAAGAATTCCGAAGATTGTTTACGCATTCCTTGACAGGACTATTCTAACAATCTTCAAAGAAAAGCATTTTACCTGCCGCCGACATTCACGTTTTGACCGAAGAATACTTTTATTTCTGTTAGTCAAGTTCGGCAAGAAGAAACTACTTTTGTGAGTGGCGATTCTTTCCCTATCTCGCTCGCTCCGCTTGAATCGGATTGCCATTATTTTTTTGTCAAGTTCTAATGAAAGTGGAAGTGAATTGATATTACAGGGAGATACCGGAAGAGATGCGGTCCCATATAAATACTCTCTTGCTCCGTTACAGTGTCAGTTATTGCAAAATACCAGATCTCAGTGTACAACAATGAATTGTCTTGTAAGTAAGGGTGAAAGGACAAGTGAAAGAGAACAGTGAAATGTGTTATGTTACTTAGTCGACTTGTTTGGGTATTTTCACCTTCCACAATCTAAAAAAATTTAAATATTGGAGTGGAAAACTTTGAAGAGGTTCAGAAAGACAAACTTTCAGTTCACTCTGATGAGTTACGGCATAAATTCGAATTAATTTTCATTGGTCACTCATCAAATTCACAATTTTTTAAGTTTTTCAGATCGTAGGTGGCGAAAAACCCAAAAAATAAGGTCGATAAATCTCTTATTTCCTCCACAATACTTTCGTTCAGTAAAACAGGATCGATATATTGAAATATACAATCAAAACTAAGTGTTTTCAAATGCTGCAGATGACAATAGAGAAGTATTTTTTCATTTACGAGTTTTTGAGGGTAACTTTGAGAACAATTTGAATTGCATTCAAGCAATTTTTCTTTTATTTTATGAAACGATCAAATTTTTTTGGGATATTATTAGGTATAACTGGATAATTGAATTCAATCGTACAAAATATATCTTAAAAAAATATGTTGAAATATGTGTTTCCCGTTAACCAGCTATCGCACCCCTACGAACGACAACCTTGAGAAGTTTAAACTTGTGCTAGGTAAGAACTAACGAGGTTTTACCTTTTAACGTGTGATTCCGAACATTACAGTTACTAAAATACCTACTTATGATAGATTTGTATCTGGTGGTAGCTCGAAAACGGTTCTGATGTGAATTCGTTCAGAAAATTATTAATAAATATGAAAAGGATTGAAGTTCATCAAGTAACTTCTTTTCAGACAGGCACATTCATAAACAGTTTATGCTTGAGAAAGCTATTGTATGGCGAAACACGTGTCGAGGTTTTTGTAAAACCCTTTATAGTGAAAATCGTACAATGAATTGTATTAATTAGTTTTGATATAGATTTTCATCAAGTATCGGATAGTTCTATTCAATTATATTCCTACTTAGATTTTCATTTGTTGCGACCGGTTTTGATTTATTAAATTTTTGATTTTTAAAATCATTTTCAAGTGAACTTGAATGATGAACTTGAATAATGAATGATAGTCATGAACCGAAACCGGTCGTAACGAATAAAAATCTTAGATGGAATTGGACAAAAATTATTTTCTTCATCCTATTTTCAATATGAATTTCTACAGAATGAATAGGTTTTCAATCGAACAAAAAAAACTATTGAGGTATTATTTCTAGTTAGAGTCGAGCTTCATCTTGAAGAAAAAATATTTTTTTAACTTATTTTTTCGAGTTTATCGCAAGTCGAAAAATAAAAATATCCATATCACACTCTATCAATCTTATCCATGGAATGTAAAAAATCGGAAACAAAAACAAAAATATTTTCAGTAGATGAGTTTCCAAAATGAAAGTATAATTTAGAATAACTTCTATTTTCTCTCATGCTAATGCTTCGGATGCGGACATTATGTATACTCGTATATCATATGATCCTCGCGCTGTAGACTAGTTTTTATTTATTTCTTAAAATAATAAAGTTCGACCTGATAAAGCTATTTTCCATCTTGAAAATTGAAAATTGAATTTTATTTATTGAACCGGACCAGATAATCTTTATGTTTCACTCCACTGTAGAGAAACTGATTTTGAAATTTTGAAATATGTTTTAATTTCACGATACAGTTGAAAATTTGAAAAACAGACTCACTGTCCTGTCACATTTTTCAATATTTTTCCAAATCAGTATAAAAACTCAGTTTCCATAATCATATTTGGTATTTATGTTGAATTCATTCTATGCCAGACAGTATGAAAAATTTCACTTCTCATATTCAAATTGTTTTCATAGAAATGTGTTCATATACTTACTTCTGTCGATGTCTTGTCAATGCCTTGTTAGAAGAATGTTGTCATCTTATATTCTGATTAACCGTTGAAAAACTATTTCGCAGATAAATTTCAACAACTAACACGTGTTTTGTCTGTCGAGTTCAAGAAATTAAAGTTAGAAATTATAGTGATTACTTATATTGTATTTCCATTGATCTACTTTTCAAGATGTATAAATAAGTACGGTGCAGTGAGCATCAAATATGTATTCTGAATTCCTAATGATGAGACTTTGGCGATGATGAGTCTTTCGAAAACACTTTACCTCAATACAAAAATGCCGTCTCTTGTCGTGCGATTCGCTAATGTTAATGTTTTCATGCTCATCTAGACTAATCACTACTTTACCTAATAAGGGTCATTAAATTGATTTCCAGTGTTTTGTTATTCTTTCTGTTTTTATTCCTTGGCTGATACATAATATTTACATGTTTTCTACCAGTGATTACATACAAGTACGAACAGTGGGTTATTAGAAATGGAACCTTCTTCACCGTTCATCGGAAGCATCTAAAAACTCGTAGTCATGTTTCGGTCTCAACAATTTCAAACCCCCCCCCACTTGGAACATCGATATGGTTTGGAATTTGATGTATGTAGAAAGGATACCAGCACTTTCAGATATTTCCCTCACCACCGCCCACAACAAAATTGGCGGGACCACATTTTCTCCTTCGTAGGCTGGTCGTGTACCATTTGAGCAAAGAAATAAATGATGTCGAGAAAAAATTATAGAACAGTGGATAAGTTGATTCGAAGAGAAAATTTTGAAGCTGTCTTCGTGAATCTTCGACTTTTCAGAAAGATGGAGACTTAAAATGTATGCTTTTCCCATACTGACCAAATACACCGACGGATTCGTTCATTTCTTACGTTGAAGCTGTTCTCAAAATCTCTCGTACACTTCAAGTTTCGGACCACTCGAAATGCAAGATGATGGAAAAGTGTAAGTCTATGAGGGTTGTGGTAGAAAATATGTTGCTCGAACTAAACGAACTATAATAGCTCGCTACGAAATCGAATATGTTTCACATATTCGATTTCATAGCCTAGAGGAGTCTGGTGTTGCTCACTATGCCACAGAGAACGGACACAGAATGGGTGAAGAATAATTGTATTCAATGATACCGATGGTTCAGGACAAGTTTACAGATACCTTCGAAAGTTCACAAATGAAGAATTAGATCTATGAACAGTAATGAAGGTCCTATTTCTAATAACCTACTGTTCGCACTCACCCATATTCACAGAACAGATGATTCATCTGGATGCATATAAAACATTAACATCGAGCAGTAGTACTAGTCAGCTACTGATGATACTAGCTTGGTTAACGAAACGCGCATCAAGAAAGAGCATTTTTTTCTGGTGAGATAAAACTGTTTTCAATCGATAAGTCTCGGAGTTCAACTTAACTATAATTGAAAGCAGACCGAGCAGAATCAGTTTATGAACGCACCAGAAGTTGAAATCCAACTCTGATTATTTTTCATTATATTTTTATTTTTTTAAAAAAATTAATATAAAACAACTATCTAGGTTTGTAGAAATACATATTGTAGGCTGAAGTGATTGTCTTACATAATTGAAACATTTAAGGTTCTTCAAAAAGTACGAAAACAATTGTGAAATGAATTTTGAATAACCTTTATTATAAATAAGTGCTGCTCCATATTTATACAAAAGGGAAGAAAGCAATTCATTTCTAAATGAACTCTTCATAAAGATGTGTGAATCATGCAAAGAAGTAACTTTCAAACATATCATATCTTCGTTGATCAAATAAGGAATGAATGAATTGCATCAGATCCTACATTTCATTTTCTGTTGGATCTATAATTTCTTAATTGGAATGTCTTGTATATTATGCATATTTTGTAATATCAAGACTTTCTATTCAAATTCCGAAATTTCTTTTATTTCATCAATTACGAGTTGAAACGGAAAGGAGATATTTATTCCGTAACTACAAAAACCAGTCTGTTCGGTATCTTACTATTAATTACGAACATGCTATCATATATTTGAATATTATTTCCTATAGTTATTGAACACTTTTCACTTCAATCCACGGGACTTTCTTATTCATTATCGGTATCAGATCGGCAAAATTAGACATGCTTTCCAATACTTAATGTTATTTAATGAACAATGTAACAAACTATGACTGTTCCATTCCGACAAGCAAAATAACGTACCCAAAAATATATTAAAGGAACCGTTAGATACCAATTATGTTCAATTTACAGTCGAGTCATTCAATATTTTGGGTTCATTGTTAGATTTTGGCTCCTTCGATATGTTTTTAGTTCAATTTTGGTAATGAATCGGATTCACATGCATATTGATTTATGTTCCATATTGTGCAATAAAAACTACTAGAAATTAATAAGTATGATATCAACATTTGTCGATATAGTAATATTACACTGTTGCATGAACTTTCTTATTTTATAATTCTTAATTTCCATTTGTCCATAGAGAATAAAATTTCGGGAAAGAAAAACTGTACCTATATTTTTGAATATTTGTTATACCTCAGAGTAAAACATGAACATGAGTAAACAAATAGAAGCTTCATTGACATATAAAGCTAGAGATGATTTATTATGAAATCAAAAATTATATTGGAGCATTCATTGAAAGCGATGAAACTGTTAATAAACCTTATGTTATAATAATAAAAATAATAATATTTATTTTCCTTTTGAAATAATGTCTTTGTTGCCTTAATAATTTCGGGAAGTTGGATATACCCTAGGTCCAATACAATCAGGAGAATTAGAAGCAATATCGAGTCTTGCATAAGGTACATTAATATAATTTTTCTGCTTTGTGTTGTGGAATTTTCATAAAATTTATCAATACTTTTAAATATATAGACGCTTACTTCATGAATGTGAATTCCGAATGCTATATAAGGAAGTGTTACCCAAATACATACCAGATACAATAGATTTCCTTCAGAATATTATTTTCAAAATTTTCCTCAGAGATACCGGGTGGTGCCCGAAAAGTATAAAATCGAAGACACTGAAGATAAAAAAACCAAAATTCGTCAATTACACACGCACAAAGAAATCCTGTTCTGTGGGAGTTGATGATATTATTGTCAATGAGCGGTAGTCATTTTGAACATCTTTCAAAATAAAATGAAACTCTTTTTCACGATTGACATTCATTATTAATCTCCCTCATTCATCTGAAAAGGATAACCGCAGGGACCTCTAGTTTACGGATTCAGTTTGATTGGATTCGTGGGAAATATTTGACACATTTGGTGTAACAAACTCCACTGGAGTGAATGAACATTTAAAAGAGAATGGAAGTGGATTCCTCGTTGCGGGACAACTTTCATCATCCTTAGTATCGAACCACACATCAGTTGTTTCTTGATGAAATGAATAGTCAAATTCTGCAATTCTGTAGAATCGACGAGACTCGTTTCAGACATCAATACAAAAAAACTTTCAATATAGATTAACCCTGTCCCAGCTACGGTGTTAACGAAATGCGTGTATGAATTAAAAATGTGAAAATTGTTAAATTATCATCATTGATTATTAAATATTATTCAAAACTCATTTTCCAGACCACCCTGTTTGCAATTTGCTGTTTGACAGTAACAGCAAAGGCAAGGCCTGGTTACGACCATTACGGATCACACAATCTAGGAGGCATACCAGATACTCGTGATTATAGTATTCTCAAGTACCCAAAGTACGACATCTTGGAACTCGGTGAGTACTCCAAAGGTCATCTTCCAGGAGATGAAATCTATGTTAACAAGCACGTCATCGAACACGTTCCTGAACCGTACCCTGTAAAAGTACCAGTACCTCACCCTTACCCCGTACATATCGAAAAGCCATACCCCGTGGTGGAGACTAAGTACGTCAAAGTCCCTCACGCAGTACCCTATGAGATCGTCAAGCAAGTGCCAATCCCCGTGGAAGTACCGAAGCCATACCCAGTACCTGTTGACTCTGGTCACAACGAAGACTCGTACCATGCAGGGTCACAACAATCGTTTGGGATTCAGAATCATACCGACGGGTTAGAAAACGCAGGTTTGTGATTATTACTTCACATACAGTACTGGACAGTAGCATATCAGTGTAATTAGATTATTTGAATTATTTACACAAGAAAACGTAAAACAGGCAATCTTTGGAAGTCCTTACGAAACAGTCACGAGTTTGGTAATTTTTAATTTATCTGAAATCATAAAATTTTTGAAGGAGAGACAATTATTTATATTACCATAACAATATTTTTGATAGGGAAAATGTATTTGTGGCATACAGAAAGAAAAACTAAATTGAAAAAATAGACACATCATCTTCGGGTGATGACTTTTTAGTGTTGAGTTCATCACAATTAACAAATTTTATCTCCTCTGCACGAAAATCATCAGATGCTGAATTCAAGATATGATTTGGCCGTCATTTTTATTGGTGACTTTGATAGCATAATTCGTGAATGTATCTGTTTATGTCTGCATACCGTTAATCTTATATTTTGTATTCATATTACTGACGCTGAAACTTGTCTCATGATATAAATACCAGTTTAATACAAAATTCAGTTTTATGTAGATTTTTCTTGATTATTGATAGTTAATATAGTGCATTGGATATTCTTCTAATAACTATCGTACCAAAGAATGAAGTTGATTTTGATGAACATGATGGAATGATAGACATAGATGTAAATCATACTCGAATGACGTCTACCTTCACTTGAAGGTAAGGCTTCGAAGAAAAAAATAGTATATAGCTGGAGTTGCTTCATTTGGTTTTCAGTAACTATCTTTTTGCCAACCCCATTTTCAAGAAGTAATTTTTTCTATTTTGAACTTACGAGTAAACTTATCAATATGTTATCTTCCTGCATTTTCTGTCGGATATAAGTAACTGAAAGTTGTATAGTGTTTTCAGAGATATGAGAAATGACAATTTTATCCTGATAAATTGAACTACCAGGGAGGTACTCGACAATGATTGGAGTAAATTGAATTGGGTTTTATACATTTCTATTCCAGTTGACCAGAACTCTTCAGATTTTTGGTCCACAGTAACTATACAGTAATTGTTCATTGTGAACGGAAGATCCTAAAAATGGCAACTTTATAGATATACCAGCCAAAGAAAGTGAAACAGAAAAATCAATTTCTTTAAGGTCAAAAACACAAGTACTACAGAAAAACCATCAAGGTGCTTCATAGGCGGTGCCTGTGAGAAAGTAGTGATTCACATTGGATTTGAATCACTGGAGATAAAATCCATTAGGAAAAATGTTGTTGAAAAATTTATTTCACATAAAAGTAGTTCTCCAAATGGAAGAGTTCTTGAATAGTGAAGTTCGAGGTGTACTGAGTTGAACGATGAGCACTCACAGTCTGTTGCGTATTTCTGATATGCACCACGTTTGGTGGAATCAAATATGCCAAGTCACTTGAACACTTCCCGTGAAAGTATCCATAGTAGAGAGACAAATTTTCAACCTTTTTTCGATGTTCCAGACTATCACGGTTGCAAGTGATGTTCCTTCTCCATTCAGGCGGATAGCTCTTCTCTGTATGGAATTCAGCAGCTTCAGAGTATGCTTAGGGGCGGGCTCCGTACATGAGAACATTACTCCAACGAAGGTCTGATCTGAGCTTAATAAAGCATCAAAAGATGCTGAGGTGTGTTCAGTTTTCTGGTTCGGAGTAGTGTTCCAAGCTTCCGAGAAGCGGCTTTTGCAATTCCAGCGACCTATTGGTGTCCATTTTAACTCCCAAAAAACTCATCGAATCAAAAAGTAAAATTGTCTGTCCTGACATTATTATATTCGGTTCGAAGATATTTATTTTTTGAAGATAATCGATGCCTGGGTTTTTGTCGCATTGAACTGAACCTGGTTACTTTCATCCCAATAAGAAATTACATCTAGATTCTCATTAAGATATGCAACTTCCTGCTGCCGGTAAAGATATGCATTGGCCGCCGATGTTTCCATTTGGAAACCAAATGGAATGACGAGACGAATGTGCTGTCGTCAGTGAAGCAATATATTGAATTCTTGGTTTTTTTCAATAAGTCGTTAATATACAATAAGATCAGGGTTGAAGACAATATAGATACCTGGGAAACACCAGCGTTGATAGTAAAAGTATTCGAGAGATATTTGTCGTTCATACGGAAATCGTCACAATATTAGATTGATTACTCAATTAAGCGGTTCGGTTCTAGAAGGAGACAATACTGAGACGATTCAGCAGATTATTTGTATTTGAATCATGTTGAAATGACAATGATATTATTGCTGCGTCACAAAAATAATATTGATATGATGTGGAAATATAAATAGAAACAAACGAATCAACAGAGAACAGCCAAAAATACATTGTTTGCGTTTTTGTATTCTGGGGTAACCTTCCACAGTCTGGAGAACCAATTAGTTGTAGTAGATGGAGAAAATACTACAAATACAATATAAGTTCAATATCATTCCCAAGAAGAAACCAAAAAATGCAAAAAAAAACTCTTATAGATGAAAATTTTATGTGGAAATAAAAGTTCTCTTGTTTCGGTACAAAAGCTTCGGTCAAGCGAGAAAAAAGAATTGCCTAGCGTCACACAAACAGCGTACCGCTGTTTGTGTGACATTCATTATTTGAAAAAATTGCTTTGAATTGTATCAATTAGTTTTACTATAAAATATTCCAGGGTTTAAAGTACTATACTTGACATATCTGATTATGATTTATTCCTTTTTTTCTCACATTTTTCTTATTTGATTCGGCAAGAGGTGGTACCACGAATGAGCCACTTGTATTTAATTTGTTAGAGCATACCGATAACAAGAAAACGTATCCAAGTTTTCAATCTAACTTTCATTATGGATTGATTGATGTATCTATATTTATAAATGTGAAAGTTCGTTAGGATGGATAAATGTGTGTATGTATGTTTGTTGCTCTTTCACGTCTAAAGGACTGAGCGGATTTAGATTAAACTTCACATTAATTCAGCCTATACATCAGAATAACATATAGGCACGAGTTTTTGTTTAGTTTTGTTCATAATATAACGATAAGTATTAAGCCGGAAAAATTCTTGCTCCGTGAGAGCTATCTTGGCGTGCGCTGCTTATATCGTTGCAGTTGCATGCAGATAATGTACCGTAAGACTGTTTATCTTAAATAGTCCTCGATAGCATATATCTACCTCTTATGTGGTATCCACTATATGCAAATTACTGAGCCATAAATACAATTGAATAGGATACTTTTTTATAACGCACATTTTAGAACATCTGCCAAATTCTAATAAAAATTGATACATTTGTCGTTTTAAGTATTCAATATAGATAAACCATATCTTTCACACGTCTTCACACATTTGGACGAATTGTTTGAAAGTTATCACGATAAGATCAACTTGACGCAACGCAGTAAGATATTACGCGTAAGAAGCTGGGGGACGATGCGCGGGGGTGGAGGAGCGGTCTAAGCACCATCGCCGAGAATGCGACCCGAACACAGGCAGACGCGTGAGGGCAGATGTTGTTGACGTGTTAGTTTTCAAATTTCTTTATGGTAACATAATTCGATTCTCGAAGCTATTCATTACTCAGTGCTATTTGCATATTTCTTCAGTAACTGTATTTTCAAAGTAAAAATGTAAAATACTAGCTATTTTTCGCTCTTCTATTAAACCTGAAGTTTTGGGTTGATGAAACATATTGTAAGTATTTGTTTAAAATAGTCTGTCGCGGAACTCGATATGACAAACCAAATTCTACGCAGGCGAAGCCGCGGGCAACAACTAGTCTTCTCATATCACACTGTGATTTCCATTCGATGTAAGAGATTAAGAGTTTGTTTGAATATATTGAAACCACCGACATATATAATAGAAAAGCACTCAGATTTCGGAATTCGAAAGCAAACACCTTCGAAGTGGTTATAATCACATTTTGAAATTTGACTCCCTGTTAACATTTATCTATCACTAGTCGTTTCTTCCCTTTTGAGGGTTACTACAGTGTAATATGAAATGAGAATTTCACACAACACTGAAAAAGAAAATAGTAGCACAAAATGAAAATAATTATGAACTCAAATTGGTTCCATATGACGGCATGTCATATCAGCCTTATAACTCTCTGAATGAATGTCAGATAACAACCGACACTCGCTTTGTGATACACAGAGAACATGAAAGTACTAGAACAATTTTATGTTGTATATTTTCATATTCTAGATTTATTGTGAAATCATTTTTGATTTTTCGTTTATTGATTCAACAATGAAAAATATTTACAGGTGGAGAAGTGCAGCATGTAAATTCCTTTGAGAGTCAAGGAGATGAAGGATATCAAGTCCATCAAGAGGGTCAATGATAATGATGAAGTGAATGAACAGTAGGCAATTTAGGACGCGAAACCTACTTTAGCACTATGACTGATTGTTGATACTATGTTGTTGTTATTTTTGTACATGTTTTTCTATTAATATATTTTTTGATTTATATTTTCCGTTACTCTTTCTATCCTATACTATCTATGGCAGATATTTACTTCTCCATTTTCATCATACCACCTAAGTGAGCCTCTCTCTGTCTCTTAAATGGAGTTCAATTTTTAAAAATATTTTCCTGATATCCGCTTTAAGTTCAATTTTCAGTAGTCGCAACGCTATGAGAATAGAAGTAATCGGTTCAAGTTCATTGTTTTCTTTAGCAGTAGTGTCAAAAGCGGGTCTAACTATTAGTGACTCTGGAAAGTTTCATGACTGGATGATAAGGTTAATGATAGTAATAAAAATAATAATCGTCTTTATTATTAAAAAAATATTGAAAATGAAGGGCGAAATCCAGTTCAGCTCCTGAATAAATTCAACGACTGAACTGTTCTTCCACTCAACCCTAAAAAGTACCTCTCCATTGAATTTTCTTTAAATTACACAAGAACAAAAAAAAATTCACAAATTTGTCCACACTACGACAATTAAGTTTACAGAAGTAGGAGCAAAACGATGTTAAGTTCAACACACTGACGTGTGTTGAATAAATGGCTAAATAGATTCTATTTGAATTTCTGGAACCCAGCTACGAAATTCGAGGGGAAGGTCATTCATAACATGACATATTTGATAACTGGAACACATGCGGAAAAATTCAGTTTTAAAAGAAGGTGGAGTAAGTGTTCCCCTGAACCTGATATTGACATCCGTTCGAAAAGAAATTTTTCTATGAAAATAGGCAGGCTTTCTGGTAAGAATTTTATGGACTAGGTTGGTGGCGTGCACGATTCTTCTGTTATTCATATTCAACCAATAGGCATCTTTGAGCTTATGAGAGATTCTCTGGGAACGTCTTATTCCATGAATAAGTGGCAAGCACGAGTTTTGTACTTTTTGAATTTTTAGTTTATACTACTCACTCAAATATGGTCCATAGACAGTATAAGCATAGTTAAAATGTGATAAAACTAGTGCTTCACATATTACTGATTTCAATATCAGTGGAAAATACTACCTAACTCCTAACTCCTAACTCCTAACTCCTAACTCCTAATTCAAAGAAGAAAATGCACGTCGTATCAAGTTATTCAAGTACTTTTCGAATCTGAGAGTGTGGTCAAAGATGACTCCAAGATTTTTTGCTTCTTCCACCAACTTGATATTCACGCCATTGATTGATTTGTTTAGGTACTCTAAAATATCAGATCGTTTGGACTTTGGTCCAAATAATAGAACATTTGATTTTTGGGGGTTCAGGAGTGAACAGTGTTCTGTTGCAGCCCTATAAAAATTATCCAAGTCTTTATTGAGTATCATGCAAGAATCATTTACATCTAGAGAGGGGAAACTATAATAAATTTGAGTGTCATCCGCATAGAAGTGCACCTTGCAGTGATTCAAATTTTTGATAAGATTGGAGGAGTTGAGAGCAAACAGAATCGGCCCAAGTATAAAGCCTTGTGGCACACCTCGCTGAAGAGATAGGGGAGATGATAAATCGAATGTAGATCTTTGATTTCTTCCATTAATAAATCGTGGTTTATAGTGTCAAAGGCTCTGCTGAAGTCAAGAAGAACTGGAGCTGTACAATGTCCTCTATCTGGAGCTTTGACAATGTCATCTACAACATGCAGCAATGTTGTAGTTCAACTGAATCACTTCCGAAACCCATGAATCGCTTCCGAAACCCAGACTGAACCGATGGTGAAATGTTGAATTCTGAAATGTGCTTCAGGAGTTGTACTTCTATGGCTTTGTCTAGTATTTTAGATGCAGCCGGAAGTACACTGATGGATCGTAACTCTTTAAACTCAGTGAAAATATTTTTTTTTTTTTGGTTACACTTTCACAACAGCACTGCCCCACATCTTAGGAAAAATATTGTCAATTAGGCAAAAGTTTGTTAAAGATCATCAGATTTGTATCTCTCGATTCATGAAAATTCAAACTCCTCAATAATTCTTTCTCTCAACTATTCATCGAAAACATGCTGACAATCATCGAGTAATCCATCCCTTTTTTAACATTGGTGTGATTTCTGTTTACCAAATCAACATTGGTTGGAAGTCGAGGGTGACCTGCTAGGTAGGGCGTAGAATATTCATATCACTCGTCTTCATTATCTTTTGACAGTTCCTAGAAAGTGGGTCATAATGGTTTTTTCAAAATACAATGTATTCTCGTTTAGATCAGGAATACCGAAAATATCAAGTTTCCATTATTGTGATATAGCCATATCTTTGAATAACAGCGTGCTGACTATCATGAGCGGATTATGGTTATCAATAGGCACCGACATATTTCACATCAAGATCCACCCTAACAGAGTCTGCTTAGCTACTCAACTTCAACTGAGTTCATTTTTACTCTGTGAACAATTTTTCAATAGTATTTGTTTCAAAGACAATATCTATAGGGACATTTTTCGTATCTGTGGATACGAAGAATTCAAGTTCTTGAGTTCAACTTTTTGTTTACTATTCCAACCATTCAGCTGAACTGTCATAGTTTGTGAGAACACTTCAGCGAAACTCATATCTGATGAAGACATTTCTATATTTGCGAAGCATGAAACCCACAATTTAAATTGTGGAGACGACTTTGAGTTATTCGACTTTGAGTTATTCTACTGTGGACTTCTACCACAGATTAGATATTTCTATATTTAACTGAACAAAAATTTCATTCCAGAAATCCTTCCTTATCAAGGAGTTTAATCAAAGCTGATTGAAGTTTCAGACCAGATTCGATGGTATTACATCCCGAATACTACATCAACAAAAACATAATTTTCAAGTGCATATACGGTTTCGAAAAATGGGTGACGATGCTCGGAGCAAGTTGATGAAATGTACGGATTGCGTGAGATGGCCTAGATTAGATTTCATATGTTACTGTCAAAATTAATCAATTATTTTGAATATTTTCGCCAAACAACACGTTGATAAACTGCATTTTTTGTTGACATGGGAATTTGGCGACACACCTGACATATATAAAAACAGACGCATATAAAGTAAAGACGTAATCTTGATGGAATTGCAGTTATGTCAGGCTAAAGTTTGGATCCAACTAGAAGGTTATCAAAAGAGAAATATTATTAGAGCACTTGAGGATCACTTCAAAAACCACTCTCAGTTCAATAGTGAAGCTTTCAGCGACAAGTCAAAAGCCCCCTCATAAAATTACTTTATTGTTTATACAAGTCAAAGCTTTCGAAAAGTTCAGGTTTCGAGTTACCTAAATCGTCTAAGAGCACTGTTCCTTGAATCCAGAATTTTAAAAAGAAATGACATTATGTACCGCTCAAAAGAATTTCCAGAAACAGTTGCAATTTCTTCAACTTTAATATCATCAGTCGCTGGGGAAAGAAAATTTGGAATATTTCCAGTTGCCAAAGAAATTTGATTTATTTGTTCAGAGATTCTTCAAAGGATATCACTGAAGAATTTATCCTAATAGAAGAGAAACCAGTTTTTCCAATGAGAAACTATCGAAAGCAACAATGTGATTAAATGTAGTGGAGATGGCTAGCTGTGAACCAGACAATTCAGAACAATATTTTATTGGTAGGAAAAAAAGGATATATTAGCATCAACAAATTCTAATGTAAAAGATGAGCGAGAAACATATTTTCATTTTATTGTATGAATAACACCTTTAGGGGTGCTATACCGTGATTGTTCAATGCGTCTCATTTCAAGAGACAATATTCGACAAGTATGTTGAGCGTTTCTAAGAAATGAAATTCATTTGGCTACCACTATCAAGACGAGCTTGAATGGATTGATAACAATCTCGACTATCTCTGAGAGAAAAACCGAACTGGGTGGGGTTCTGAGAGAACATATTACCAGGCAAGGCTTCGACATTTGGAATCAGGAGTCTGACTTGAAGTGGAAGAACACTAATTCCTTGAAGTATCATTGGGGACTGAAGTACTCGAAAACTTTTTCAAATCATACCAACACACATGAATCAACAATGAAGTTCACATTGCGGATTGAATAAGATGGTCAAATTCCCTTTCTTGATGTGATGTTGAAGAGATCCTCAGATCAATTTGATAAACACATATAGATAGATACCTCCACTACACATCAAATCAATATGCGACTATTAAAAAAGTTACAATAAATTGTCTTCATAACAAAGCAAAGACGATTTGTAATCCAGCTGGAATTTCCAATGAAAATATATTATTGATAAAATCTCTTCTGAAGGAAAACGATTCGTTCGTATATTCAACAATAAATGTTTTACAAAATAAGCAATCAATTTTGAATCAAATGACCCCAAAATACAAAAATTCAACAATTACCGACTCAACAACTACCTACACCTTTTGCAACAAACGATATACCCCAATTTCTAGGAATATCTGAAGAAGAAGACGGAGTGATAGATATGATGTTAGAACTTCTCAGAACAATCCATACACTGAGATCGATACTCACATACACCAAACCCATCAACACAGTAAAACTAAGAAAAAATTATACGTTGTTCTTGAGGTAACATGAAACTTCGAGATCATTACAAGTGTGTGAGAACTCCACTATAAGAGAACACACTTCGTACTACAGCGAATGTTTCAGATGTCAAGCAAAAACATTGACTTATTTCAAATGAGATGTGTCTGAAGAGAGTATCGAGGAGAGATACATACATACAGGAAAATAAATATTTCGAAATGAAATTTCGAAACATTCATCTCTCCCAACTACAGCAGATGCTTCCCGTTTTGTGTAGATAGCTGGAAGAGATAAATGCTTGGAAATTTTATTTCGAAAAATTTAATTTTCTTATACGTATGTATCTCTCCTCGATAGTATCTAGTTTTGATTTCTATTAGAGTTTTGGTATATGAGATATACCATCCCTCCTTGGGACTTTGTTCATGAGATGGAGCTGTTACTACTTAACAATCGTTCTCCTAGACGAAGATTTCATTTATGCAGCAGAGC